AGGAATGTAATTTTTTGCTCACAAGGTGTGTTGCTGCTACTTGTCCCTGGGGAAACAAACAACCACGCTCATTTGGATGTGGCCTGAAAGGGCAAAGGCAGCTATGTTTTTACTGGTAAACTTAAGTAGGCACCTACATTTGTGCTACTTGCATTAAATGATGCCACCTTGACAAAGATGAGTATCTCAGCCACTGTCTCATACCTATATCCATTTGGGATTTATTAACTAGCCATTTCTGGTCCTAAGTCTCCTCAAGGTACTGATCCAGTAGGTGCACTCAGAACACACCTAATGCATGTTGGCAGGGTTAAGTTCAGCAAAGAGCACAATAGGCCTTGCCACTCTCATGCATGGCTTGAGGAGGGAGTGGTGCCAGTGTCCATGTCTATCAACAACTACTAGCTAAAACAGTTGCTCAGAAAATAGAGGACCTACTGTTTAGGCCCTTCTTAGCCTCAGGGATCTCCTGGTATCAAAAAACCAGCTACGCTACAAATTAGCAGTGTAGCGAATGGGTGCATGTGCACTGCATGTAGTTTGTGGTGCCTCAGACTACTTTTGAGGTGCTGCAAACTGGACGTGTGCACTCATCTGGATGCGTCCCAGGAGTTCAAAGCCACAACTCCCAGGAAAGTATGCTATCCACCAGTGTGGGCTGGGGTTGGGGGTTGTGTTTTGTGAATTAAAACAGTCACTTAAAGGAATGGAAGATGACTGAAAAGTAGGAGCAGAGAGAGGCTATCAGAAATAGCTTCAAAACAAGGGGAATATAGTTCTAACGAACGCCAACTTACGTAGAACAGGACTATTCAGAAGGGAAAAGGGTTATTATTACCTGTGGAGTGCAGAGATTTTAGCAGAGATAGCAGGTTGAGAGTAGTGAGTCAGAAAGACATTTTTTGGGCTTAATCTATGATTTTTAGTGTTATGAATGTTATAAATGTTGGCTCCCACGTCTGTCTTTTGAAGGTGTTTTTCAGATTTCCCTTGACTAAAAGGACTGTGAGGTCAGAAACAGAGTGGTTGTTCCGTGAAAAGTGTTTTCCTTTTGCTTTTTTCTGTAATTATTCATTCTGTATTGTTGTACCTGTGATGGTTTAAGAAATGTACTAGAGGCAAGGGTTTTTTGTGATATCTTTTACTGGACCAAGTGTATAGCTGGGAGGGATGTTGGACAAGATTTCCAACACAGGGTTGTACAACAACACTCCAACCCTACTACAATGTGGAAAAGAATAGTCAACTAGTCTCCCATATGTGTCATGGCACAGATATTACAAAGGAATAGGAAAAATCATGGAAGGGGGTTTAATTCCACTATTTATCCCAGAACACTTTACATGACTGTACTACTTCATTTGGCAGTGGTGTAGGTTGTAGCCGTGTTGGTCTAAGGACATAGGCAGACAAGGTTCCTTGGGTGAATTTGATATCTTTTATTAGACCAACCCAAATGGTTGGAGAATAGTTATTAAGCAAGCTTTCAGGTTCAAAAACCCTTCATCAGGCTAAGGAAGTTTCAGCAGTTGGTGTGTGCTCTTCCTGGATAGAATGAAAAGTAAAGAAGCCAGAGGCTGGGCTGGGGAGTCAGATGTCAGGCGGATTATAACGTGTCAAAAATCCAATGTCTATATTTAGTCCATGATCTCTAGTATCCAGGAGGTTGATGAAATGGAGTTCATAGGCTCGTCTCTGGGAAGTGTTGTGTAAGTTTCCCTTGAGGATCAGGACTGAGAGACTGGAGAGAGTGTGGCCCTCCTGTGAGAAATGTGCCCCCACCGGTAATTGGGTATTTCTGTCTTTGATAGATTTCCGGTGTGCGTTCATTCTGGTGCGCAGTTGTTGTTTGGTCTCTCCTAC